GGCGCATGGTGTGTGGCGAGGCAGCCTTTGCTCTCTGCTCTTCGGGGCTGGGGGCTTTGCTGTCCCCTGTCTGTGCTTTCTCCAGGGCTGCACCCTAAGGGGACTTTGAAAAAAGCCCCTCACCCCTGATCTGCAAAAGCCCCTTTTTCCAGCAGGGTTGGGTAACCTGGGATTGTCACTCAAAGTGCCTTGGAGAGGATTCATTTGTGTTGCATAAATCTCCCTCCAGAATGAGATGTTAGGCGCTTCATTCTTGTTCGAGAAAACCTATTTTTCCCCCAGTCTGTGTTTATTTTTATTCCCCAGCTTCTCCATCCCCTGCAAAGTTACTTTGATGGATTTAACTTTTTATTTGCAAAGGAAATAGTAATTTAAAAAATAATTTTGGTTGTGAACTTTGCTGTAAAAGTGTGTGTGTGTGTGTGTGTATTTGTATGGGTATGCATGTGAAAGTGTGTGTGGGTATAATTAAGAAAATTCAGAACACAGTTGCAGGAATTAATCCAGAGTGGGGTATTTTCAGGAGATCACCCATATATTTATCTCTCTTAGTGGTACTAAAACAAAATATGGAAAAATTGTGTTTAACCAAGCTAGTCTTACCAGGTCACTCACATGCATAGCATCTACAGGTCTGATATCAAAATATCAACAGGAAGAAATGTGACTTTTAAAACAAAAAGGGTAGAGAGAGAAGTTTTGATGTTTGAAGACGGAGTGGAAATATGCTTCAGTGGTTTTGTAGCACTGCCTGAGATTCTGTTCTTGGGGTATTGATGTGCTAAAGAAATTAAAAGTCCCCAAATGGTACAATGAGAGTTGCAATTTTAGCAGATCTCATTCTACTGAAAGGAATTTGTCATCAGTGGCTAGAGAAGAAAGACATGAACTACAACCGTGGTCCTGCAAACACCTATATATGAGAATAGCTTGAAGCTTGTTCTAGCTGACTTTAATGAGAGGTCCAAGGTGTGTAAAATTCAGCATGCATGTCAGTATTTAAAGGATCATGGCTTGAGATCAGCATGTTACATTTAAAAAAAAAAGTCATGGTCCTGACTTAGATTCTTTGTGACATAATAAAGCAGTATTACCATAAAAAAAAACCAAAAAAAAAAAAAAACCCCAAGCATTGGAACTGTTCCTTTTTGTCTCTCACTACAATCTGTCTCATTCTCTAAAATACCTCCATACAAGAGCAGGGACACTAAGCTTTTTGTTTTGATTTTTGGCTTACGTCATGGAGTGAGGGGAAAACACAAGGCTAACTGCACTTCATATGAAAGAAACGGCTAAGACCATGGCAAATAGGTTACTGAGACCATTAGTTTAAGTAACTTGGGAAGTTTTTTCTGTATTTTTGTTGTTCTCGTTCTGTCTATATGATTTCTGATGAACCATGACACGATTCAAGCTTTAAATTCTTTCATTTGATTAGTCCTCAGTGGCTTTTCAGCAGTCCAGTGTTGTGCTCCTGTTATCCCTGTCTAACTTGTGCTTGCTTAATTGTCAGCTTTACTGCCCAGAGATGCTTTGAAATGAAAAATATCGGAATCGTTATCCAAAATGGACTCTCTCTTTCTCTCTGTCTCCTGCCATTATCCCTCCTTCACCAGCCCTTCCTCTAGCTAGTGGCAATGCCAGCATGATGGCCTGAGGCCAAGGGAGTTAGACAAAGCAGTCCTTGCAGGGGCACACATTGCATTGAGAATGATGTGACTGCAAATGGCTTCCTTCCTTTCTTGCTGGACCCTAAACTGAGTTTCAGGAGGATCCTTCTCTATTGTGTTTTAATGAAATACCACCAGCTCAGCTAGAAGTGCAAATCCTGGGTTTGCTTCCAAACCTGGGTCTCCCTTTCCTTTGTATTCTGTGGAGAGGCTGAAAAAGCAGGACATCTGTCCCTTTGGCCCAAAATCACCTCTGCAGAAGCTGCTCTATCGGAACTTGGAGTGATCAGGAGTCAAGTTTTTCAAGGGGAGGTGGCCAACTTGGAGTCCCTAACAGTGCTGATAATCTGTGCTGCAGGGTTTCTGGTGCAAGTGGGACTATAGAGACTGTGGTGACATGCTTCTGAAGTCTGTGTCTTCACTGCAGAGCTCACTTGTGTTATCTACACTCTGGTTAATTCCACTTAGTCTAGCTCCAGCAAGAGTGGCCACACTGCAAAATAACAGGAGCTACCCAAAGTTGTTGTGTGAGCAGCTGATGAGTTGTGCTAACTTGAGCTGCAGATTATACAGACAGGCAGGTCCACCACCCTCTGGCTATGGGATTTTTGTGTGTGGATGGGTCTTGAATTAGGGACAATGATCAGGTTATAAACCAAGTTACTTGTGCAGGCAAGCCCTGAGAGAGAGGAGAGTTGCCATAGGGCAGGGAGGGCTATAGAGGGTTAATGGGAAATCTGTGGGGTTATCCCCTGCAGATCTCAGAATGGCTGTGTAAGAAAAGTCTGCCTACTCCACAAGCTGCCTACTCCCCAGCTATGTCAGGGTGCTCCAGGGGATTGATTCTCCACTGTGGCAGCTTTTGTCATTTATACAAATTCAAAGAGTAATTTTCTACCAAATCACACTGGTGCTGAACTCACTGTGCCTCACAGGTGTGAGTGATGATGTAAAGCTTGGGACAGAGGGGCTTAAGCCCTGTGTGATTATACTTGCAGTGTTTTTCCAGGTGCTCTTCCCATGGGACTTTTCACGTTGGAGCCTGAAAGATGCAACATTTGGTGCCAGTCCTGTGTTTCTAAACCAGTCGCTGGCAGAAGTATTTTTAATTTCAAGCACAAAGCCCTCTATTTTTTAGTGTTCTCTTTATTATCTCACTCTTTTTTTTCTCTATTTAAGTGCAGTGGAGCCATGATGACTGTATTTTGTTTGTCCCTCAGCATCTTTAATAATGTCAGCTGGAATATGCATGGCTCTGGGAGTAGTATTTGTAAGGTGCATATTGTACTAATCTTTTTCATGTTGTTGTTCTGAGCCTGGTCCTATAGCAATGAGGCTTAACCTCTCCTCCCCAAAATGCTAAGACTAGAGTGAAGTTTTAAAACGCTCATGTGTAAAATCAAGTTCCAGCAGTTTATACCAATGTTGAAGTAGTAGGCTGCATCCTGGATCCACATTGTTTAACAGCAGCCTTTAAACAAAACAAAAAAATATCGTTACCAAGCATTTTCATAGTTCTCACTTCAGTGTCTCCATCCAAAACTTTATAGAGTGCCTGAGGTTCTCCTGCTCCAAAACACAGGTACCTTCTGTTACTTGGTCAAAAAGAAAATCTCTGTTATCTGGCAACAGAATAGGGGCTATGAAACAATATATCTGAGCATTCTGAGTCCAGCCAGTAGAGGGCACTGGAACATATGCACACTAGTTTATTACAATATACCCAATGATATGTTAAATTAATAACATTAAGTTTCTGACTCAGCACAATGAACAAACTGCTTCCTTAATGTTCTTTATGTAATTATATTAGACATGAGCCTGTTGTCCTTTTTCAGATTTTATGAAGTGGGGAGTCTCTTGTTTTGATGGCACTACAGAAAATGAACTACTCTGTTAAGATATCTGTTTGTGGAAGCTGTTACATACTAAACTCTGCTAGACACAAAGAGTAATTTGTAGGCATTTATAAGCGCTTTAACATTTGTTTTCCAGATTTACATTAGTAAAACAAATCTCATCTTGGATTTACTGTTTGAAAGATTTGTAGTGGCATTGTTTTTATGACTGTAATTCAATTTGCTAACATTTAATACAGTGCTTGCTCACTATTCAGTGATCTTATCAAAGATAGCCTGAAAAGAAATGATCTAAACATGCTGAATAGTTAACTTTTTCCAAATATAACTCACCTGGTCCTTTATCAAATGATTGCTTCCTGCCCCCCATTTAAAAAAAAAAAAGATGATGGCTGGGGAATACGTACAGGTATTTTTTATTGTTTTGAGCAAAAAAGTGTGTTTGGCATTTATAAAACCTAATATGAATTTCCATTGTCTATGGATAAAATATTAAAGCTTAAAAGAGGTTCTTTGGCTGTTATAGAGGAATATCTAGGTAGGGATGTGATAGTTTAAAAGCTTAAACGGTTAACTGATGAGCCTGAGCTCATCGGTTAACCTTCATGGTTACATGTAAGCCCTTCCCCCTTCCCTGCAGTGCTACCTCTGTATCCAAGGCAGCAGCATGGGGTGAGGGAGGGACAAGCAGTAAGACGGAGCCAGAGCACGTGAGGAGCCAACTTTTAAGCAGGCTCCCTGTGAGCACTGGCTTCTGGGGAGTTACCTGTCCTCCTGTGCTGCTACCTCTGATACAACATGGAAAACATATGAAAACATTATATGGGACTGTCAAAAGCCTTGCTAAAACCAAGATACATCACATCTACACCTTCTCCCCTTCCACTAAGATAGTCACCATGTCAAAGAAGGAAATTAGGTTGATGTGGTGTTATTCATACTTGACAAATTCATGTTGGCTATGACTTATAACCCTGTTATCTTCTAGGTGCTAACAATTGGA